GATGTTTTTGAATAGATTGGCAGATTTCAAGATAACTACCATTTTTTGGCTCCCTTTTCCAGTGAATTAAAAAAATTTGGACGTAATAATCTTACTGTCATCCTCATGTATATTTATTTTGAGGATTTGTATTCTTGGAGGATTACAAAATTTGGGAAGGTTCCAATGTGTTGTGTTTCTTCATTAAGAATTTTTGCCATATTATCAGCCTAGTAATTTTACCTTTATAAATCTTCTGGTTTTTGTTCTGCTGTGTATTAAAAGCAGAGTGTGTTCCCAAATTGGATGTTTATAGAATAATGTGTATTCTGGAATAGAACACAGTGTTTCTTCATGGGTTATTGTTCAGTATGTTCTACCACTGTTGTGCCATCCTTCATTTACATGCAACAACAGCTCAAATTTTTATTTAAAACAGTGTTTCCAAAGCTGCTCTCCCATTACATTTGATTTATTGTTTTTTTTAGGTGCAAGCAAAAAAGAAGAAAAACAATGAGGAAAAAGAGAAAACAGCAAGTATCCTACTTACTCATGCTGTAGTTTCAGGATATAAATACTATGTACTCCGTGGCATATATTTTACTCTGTATCAACCTACTAGAACTACTGAAATCTATATAATACTGAGTAGGGCAGCAGTTTGCCACACAGACATCAGTGTTTGTTGTTTTGAATTCCTTTGTTAGTGTTGTATAATTCTTCCTTGGTAAGCCCCCTCTACCAGACCACAAAAAGGGCCTTTGGACATAATTGCTGCAACACCTATACTACTGTAATTCTTCCCCCAACCACATAAAAAGCTGCCAGCAACCTGTTGCTTTTCTCAATTTTGTTGACTTGTTTCTGTTGGTAAAAGTGAGACGAAGGTTTAGCAGTGATTTATGTAGAGCTCAGATTCATCGCATGTACCTGAGGCTCCTCAGTTTGGAGTACAGTGACTTTGAGATCTGAAATGGCCGCCTGAGATGTCTGTGTATCTTTCTATCTTCCCTGTCAGCAACAGCATTCCTAATTAGACATCTCGGTTGTCTAAATGAGTTAGGGCAAAGGGACAACTTACATTAGTCACCTAAAAATGCAAGCATAGGTGCGTCAGTGGTACTCAATATGCATTTTCCATGGAACCTCTTTGTTTTTTTATAATCATATAAGCTGTTTGCCTTAAAATTTCTAGTGAATGATTGTGGTTTTTTCTTAGAAGAATGGTGTGTATAAGTAGTATGTATAAAACAAAGATTTGTACCAAGATTGTTTTGTTTATATAATGCCGTACGTGTTGAGGAATTCCAGTTGAAATTCTGCTTGCAAAAAGGCAAGATTCTATCTCTCAGCTTCTGTGTTACAGTGATCAGGATAATAACTTCAGGACTGAATCCAGGAGGGTTAATTGAGTGTATTCATATTTACAGTTGAGATCATAATTGTTTTATTTTAAACGTGGTGCAAGTGCTGGAGATTATAGCCAAGTGTAGTTGAACTACTTAATTTTACACAATAAATATAAGCGCTTACTTCAAAATATGTAAGCATCCTAGTTATTCCCACATACATAAGATGTCAGTGCCCATCAAAGCACTTCCTTATTACTTTCTCAGAAGCCTGTAAAGCACTGAAACTCATTTAGAAGATTAGGAAATGTAATAGTGACAGTGAGATGAGAGGTGTGAAATAGCCAGATCATGATGGAGATGAAGTGAAGACTGCACATAATAGTGCAAATTACTGGGTAAAATATGAATTTTCTTTTTGTGATTTTTTCAGTAGGCTTTTATAGAAATCACTTTTGAAATGTCTTTATAAAGATATCCTTTCCATGCTCTCATTTTGCATTAGCAGAGTTTGATAATGGCAATTTTACTATACAATAACTTCCATTTAATTTTACTATTTTTTTAGGATAAAACAAAAAAGAGAAAGAAGCACAAGAAACATGGTAAAAAGAAGAAAAAGAAGATTGCTGGTTCAAATTCGGATTCGGAATAATATTTTAAAAAAACAAGACTATCAACAGAAGTGCAATGACTAAAGGAAACTTAAACTGTGAAATGACAGCAAACTTTACCAAACTGCATGAGTTTTCCGTGTTTTAGAAATATTCCTAATCTTTCAGTAGCCAGCCAGATGCAGCTGTGCTGGGAAAGACCATTGTTATTGCCTGCTGCTTAATACATGAGGTACAACTTTTATAAAATTCCAGTAAGCAGTGTTAGATGTTTGAAACAAGATGAGATGGTAGTCCAGCTGAGGTGTAAAATATTGGAAAGTAAGAGTTAAACTTTTTAGATAGTACAAGTAGTCTTTTAAAGCATTAGTAATAGTCTTTATTTGTAAATCAGGACAAATAAAATCCCAAGTTCATCCTGCAGGTTAATATTGCACATAAACTATTACAAGCTGGTGTCTGCTAATGGCATTTACAAAATGGGAAATTAATGGTAACATTTAAAATGCTGCCTTTTTAGAAATGTTTATCATCTGCCCCATTTCCGTCTTCATGCTTCTGAGAAAGGGAATGCTACCATTTTGGCTAACTGAATAGGGTGCCTTTGCCTTTGATTCTTGCAAATCTCTGCTATTTTTAATCCATGCCGCATCTCTGATTCTAGGAAGGCAGAACTATTGTCAGCAGACTTTATCTGAATAAATAATAAGTTCTGGGCTTCTAAGCATGTGCTTCTGCATTAAGCAAGAGCAATGACATTTTGCAGTATAACTGACATTCAAAACCTGAAGATTTTACCTCTGCTTCTTTGAAATAGTGATAGATCTTTGCTAGTAAATATGCGTATTTCATTTAATGCAATTTTGGTTTAGTTGAACACTTCTTGCAAACACTGGTAGCTTTCTTTGCATTATCTTTAGAATTGTTTTGCATGATTTGTACCATTTTTAAATTAACAAAATGCAGGTAATCACTTGTTGTAACCAGTTCTATGAATTACGTCCCACATGCAGCGTTTCATGTATGTATTTAGTTATTCTTACAGTTAAGTTCATTGCTGTGTTTAAGTGCACACTTGCTGAAGATATTTAGCATGTACAAAGCAGGGTTTTGATACCTTAACAGCTTCATATTGAAGCTGATTTTACTCTTAAGCAAGTTCAGTGGCAGACCTGTTATGTGATGTGTCTTGTTAGATAAAAAAACTACTGCCAGAATCTCATTAAAGATACTGTTTAAACAGTTTGTATTTATATTTTTGTACTTGAGGGCTACAGAAAGTTGACCTACATCATAAAGCTGTTTTATGTTAAATTAGTTGCTTTAGAAATTGAAAAAAGCTTTTATAAATTAAATGTGCATGCAAAAAACTACAAGCAACCATTCGATTTTAGTTTTTACAGGAAATCCTCATTGTATTTTCCATTGAAGTCCCTGTGCTGGGCTTCCTGTTAGCCTTTAAAAACTGCCTGTCCATCCTGAGGGTCAACTGTAGATTGTACTCTTCACCCACCTCTTTTTTCATTGCACAGGTGCTAACTTAGAACTTACCTCTATTGCATACAGATGTTTCAAATACTGAATTGCCAAGAATTTCGAGACCTTTAAGACCTTGATTATTAGTCTGCAAACCATAACTAAAAACTGGGGGAGAAGGATTATTTCGTATTGCCGTTCTGCAAAGAAATTGACTTCAAGTTAAGTTCTTGGGGAAAATGCAACCATTGAGTTGTAGCAATGGCCCTCTAAACCACAGTTAAGAATATTTTGATCAAATATTTTATACTGTTGGGCTTGATGTTATCGATTTTAGACACTTTTGTCAGTGAGGTTAAAATAAAGGCAAGATGCAGTGAACAGTAGGGGTTTGGTTTGGGGTTTGTGTTTGGTTTTGTTAGGGTGGTTTTCTTTTTAGGTTGTGGCATTGCAGCTTGGGTAAAAGAACTTGTAATGAACCATAGCATAAATGCTCTGTCCTGTGTGATACCTTATTTGACTTTTACACAACTACCTGCAACAGAAAGAAATAAAAATGGAAATGACAGCCCCAGTCTTCCAAATACATAAGCCGGTATGCCGTTTTAATTGTCTGAATATAACTGTGTGTTGTGGTCAGCCGTGTGCTTCAGATGCTGCTGTCGTGCTTTGGAAGTGGTGTAGCTGCTCGAGGGACTTAGGGGCTTTGCCCGTTCACAACGGAGCTGCTTTGATACCGACAGTGCAGTGTTGCTGTTTCCAGTACAACAGCAAATACGCTGTGACTCCTCAAGCATAGTCTTTTGGTTTTGGTTTTTTTCCTCCCCCTGAAGGAAGAGTGAAGTCTGGTTGCGACCCCGTCAGCTTTCCCGGGTTGTACAGGCCGAGCCCGTGGGAAGGTGATGGGGGTTTTGGGTAGCACCAGCCACGGCGTTTGAGCAGTGGGACACAGCAGAAAGCGAGCAGTGCGGGAAGAAAAGTATTTTGGTAGTCGTCTGTCTCCTGACCGCAGATGAACAAACTGTATTGTATGTAGTAGTTAATTTTTAGCTCTTTCTTTCCAGAAACGTTTTTAGAAGGTTGACATTCAGTTATTTATTTTTACAAAACTGCTGTTTTTTAATGTGTCATGAAAATTTCTCTTCGTTATGCCTATATATATATAATATATAG